AATTACCAACTTAATTTTATGAAACAGAGCAATAATACTTAAGTAGCTCACGTTTCACAAAGAAAAGGCTGGTCGACTTCTCAGGTTCTATGTCTCAGCTAAACAACAAAAAAGCTTTTCAACATCTGAAAACAAATCACGTCCTAAAAGACGCTGCAATACAAAAGAATCATTATAATGACTAGTAAAATCACCTAGTGTGACTCTATCCATGATAGAAGGCAGTAAAATTTACATACATCTATACTGAGTGAAAGTCACCAACAGGTGCCACAGAACAGAGTGAGCAATGGCAGCAGTATACAAAAATGCCAGTGCTTTCTCTGAAAGCTGCTGGAAGTATAGGCATCTATTTTGGCAAGGAGTGACGGAGAGCTGTGAGAGAACCTGACAAAAGGATCTGGAAAAGTAATGGACAGGGACATTTGGGGATTAAAACAGTAACAAGATGAAAATGGGACAATAGAAACTAAAATAACCACCACTACATAAAGAATTAGAGCCCTGACCAAACCTGCTCACATAACCAATCTCCTCTACACTTCCTACACAGGACCTCTACCTCAACCCAGTTCTCTGTTCTACTAACTACTTCTCCTATCAACCTTAGGTGGGAATATGCAGTCCAGAAACTCTACTTAAGGTGGAAAGATGTGGGTTTGGGGGGATTTCCCTGTAATTAGGAACTGATCTGCCAACATGTAAGTTTTGCAAACATATGCAAACCAGCAGCAAGGAAAAAGAGGAATTCTAAGACAGAAGATGGAAAAAAAGAAAAAAGGAAAAAAAAAGAAAAAGAAAAAAACCTGCCTTTACACAATAACACAAAAAATTATTAAAAATCTAAATGTTTCCAATTCTCTGTATCAAATTTGAGTGCATAAAGTTCCTATCTATCAAAGCTAAAATTTGGACAGGTGAAAATCATGACAGAACACCAGTTTTGACACCTGTAAAGTGAGAGGTCTTGCACTGATACCCTTGTCCGAGGCAACATTTGCACTCTTTAGAAATAACAATTATAATAGACAAAAAAATAAAATTAATAAACATAGAGGTTCCACAGATTTGCTGCTGGGGCACAGAGCATCCCGTCCTGCAGCTAATGAAAACAGGAACACAAGATTATTCTCAAACTAGAGAAGCATCTTTTATCCAATTGCTTCAGAAGGATTTTTATTTCATTCACCATAGAAGAATTATGTGCAAGTATTTCTATTCACAATTCTGAGACCTGAACATCACCCTTTATTCACAAGTTACCTCCTCAACACAAATCAAAGTAGATACAACACATACAAGCTACTTGCCACTGACTCATCTGCTTTACCAAAGTAACAAAGCCCACTGGAGTAAGGAAACTCAAACACACTTCATGAAGCTACATATTTCCAGCCTACCCAAATAAGTGTAGGCTCCATTAGGAAAAATGACAAATGAAGCCTGAAGAAATATCCTATCTGCCCCTATTTTGTACTTTTTCTTTCCCCCCCCCCAAAAAATAGCATTCAACTAATGAAAGTTACAGTGTGATGATGATTACCTAGTGTGAGGTGTCCCTGCCCATGGCATGGGGTTGGAACTTGATCTTAGGGTCTTTTCCAACCCTAACTACACTATGACTCTGTGACCTTATCTAAAGTTCAGAGTACCTCCCATCCTCACAGAATATAACAAACACAACTAAAGTAACCGTAAGCTGAGCACTACCTACTTCTGATTCATTAAGTCCTGCCATTATTGAGTATCAGCACTTCACCGGCATCCCTGTTCACCACATCCATTTGTCAGTTATCTTCAGCAGAACATGACTGGTTTGTTCCTTTCACCAGCATCTCCTATTTATCTTCCTGTGTGGTCTTGCCAGTTTCAAAAGTCAGCAAAACCCACACAGAAATCTAATGCTCCTCTTCTGGAGTAGAGAGACTTTTAGTAAAACTGCTATTTCTCCACTTCTGGCTTTTTGGGGTATTCTGGGGTTGGTTTGGGAATTTGTTTGTTTTTTAAATCTACCTTTTACTTCCCCTTAATTCCGTCCAAAAGTGAGAACACAGCTCAAAGCAGCAGGCAAGTTGCCACAAAGAGCACACTGGAGGTATCATCTGGTAATTACTTCTCATATGTCATCCCTGAAAGGACGTGTTACATAAGCTCTATAAAACAAGCTGGAGGATACATCTCTGCTCCCATTGTAAATACAGTTAGGATACACATAGTGAAATCAAAATCATAAGTTTAACATTTTTAAAGGCAGAAAATAATTTTTTTTATTTGCATCCGCAGTCTCTGCTTAACCAAAGTTTCCAATAGTGAGAGTCTCTGAGTCAACATTTGCAATCAATTTGACAGAATCTTTAACACCATCTCATTTCCTGAAGGAAAAAGGTATCATCACACAGCCTAAATGTCTACTACAGTTTTAATGGAAATCTTTGCTGGATTTTTCTTTTTTCTGAAGTTAATGAGGATTGAATATTGACTGCACAAAACCAGCAATTAGAAACTATTCTCTAAAAATAAAGGTGTTCCTGTAGGAAGACAATCAATCAGTCATCGGTATGCCATATTCTCTAAGGAGAATACAGCAACAAACCTAGACATTGCTGTATTATGCTGACACAGGCAATTTCTGCAGTACAATACAGGGGAACTAGGGAATTCAAAATAACTTTTTCAATTCTCGCACATACCACATAAAGAAATAAAAGACGAGTCAAGCATGACATCAGTACTCTGACAAATGGGAATGCAAGCCTGTGGTGGTTTGGTTTGCCTTTTTCTTTGTTTTTTTTTTCCCCTCTTTATGTGAAGCTACCAAAGCTGAGGGAAAAAAAATGCTAAAATATCAGTCTTCTTTGAGCAGAGAGTCCTCTTACCTTTTTATTTCATATGTTCAGGAAGTTTCCTGAGGTTATGATAAAACTATCCTCATAGCTATCCTCATGCTCTTCTAGAGTGACACTATAACTAAGAAACCACACCAAATTTGCAGTAATTCCATAACATGTGTGACCCCTCAAAGTGTCACCTAAATTGCAATTTAACAACAGACAACCATAATCCTTTCTCTCTTTGACTTGTTTATCCTATTAGTACACCATAAAAAAAGTATTATGAAGAATTATTTCATCACCTTCCCATTACTTCTTTGCTTACATATTTGTTGATTAAAAAATATATAAATAAATAAATTCCTACTATTAGCACTCCCTAGCATATTCTTCTTCATTTAAAAAGAGAAGTAAAATAAACTTAAATTCTCATTCTTGCACTAGTAAGCAATAAAAAAATAAGCAATTATCATTAAGCAATCTGAACATTTACCAAAGAAACTGGAGTTCATATTTGACAGTGGTATCTAAGACTTCTCTATAGAGGAAGACTAGTCATTATTACTTCAGATGCCACTTCGAAATTTTCTAACGTTTAAATTTAGCGGCAGACACCAAAGATCTACTCTAACTTCTTTTGCTACTTATGCACAACTATGCTTTTATGTGCAATAACCACAGAGCACAGAATTCAGCATCCTAAGATGAAAGTTTTAACCATCCATTAAAAATTTTGACTAAATGAAACAGTATTTAGAGCACATCTACCAAGACCTCTTAGCTAAAAATTCAGAATTTCAGAAGGACCTTTGAAGTGGTGTAAAGGAATAAAATGTCATTAGCTTTAAAAAAATAACTTCTAACTCCACTGAGTTTAAATGTGACAAAGTCTACAGTGTATAACACAATAACTGAGAGGCACACTGGAGGCATAAAAAATTTAATAGTTTGTACCGGGGCCAAATGGTAGACCATATTTTTTAAATATTAGAAATATGAAGCTTGTACACTGAAAGGATGTAGCTTTAGGCACCACTACGCTTTTTGCTACATCTGAAGATAAAGTTTACCATTCTTGAAGCTCAGCTAAACCAATTAGCAGAGCTGCAGAATAGTCATACCTACCAACAGCCATACTTATTAGTGTTAACTGCCACAATTAATGCGTGTCCGTATTTCTATTCCTATCAATTTCATTTTATTGTACTACCTATAGAAATTCAAAACTATGAAATACATAGGGCATTTTTTAATTAAACTTACAGTCAACACCTTATCTGTTGACTATTAAAACACAATTTTCCCATTAAAGACCAATGTGAACATGTTGGATGCATACTTATGTTTTCAATACTTTCAGCATTGTCAGTGTATGCATACAGAGGCAGATGACTCCTCCCCTTTTAAGCATATTCAACCTCACAATAATAATCAGAAATGCCTTGAATCATAAATTTCCGTTATTTAAAAACTTTCTCATGGTCTTCCAATCCCAACCTCTTAATAAGAGTACATTATTATCACTTGTTAAACCTGCACATCTAAATTTGCGTTTTATTCCATGACATCTTCTTCCTAATATATTAAGCAAATCACTATTGAAAAGGGCTTCTTTCTTTCAGTAACAAACAAGTCAATGCAAAGGATGTCTCTGACTTTAACATTCTGGGAAGCATATTAACCAAAACTTATATAAGCTGTAACACTGAGAAAAATCACAAAATACTGAAAAACAATAACAAACTTGTGGTGAAAAAAAATGGCATACTTCCTTGATTTGTGTACGTACTCACATGATACGTATAAAAAGAAGGAAAAAAAAAAAAGCATGCCATGTAACAAAATTTTAATCTAGGTTTAAAAGCCGAAGTCAGTTGTCTTCACATATGCTAACCTCCATATATGTAGTTACAACCTAAAAATATCCATAAATAGATATGGGTTTCAAGAACAATATATACATTATGCTGGAAACAAAACTCACTAGTGTGAGAGGAATACACATTGCTGGAAGTATAACACTCACTATAAAAAGAACATTTCAATGGCAATATAAAGCATTACCTGATCTAAAAGTCCTCCCTCTTTCATCGGCTTTGATAAACTGTCATGAAGAAATACCCATAGGAAAGATTCCCTTGCGTGTCAGTTTTCTGCAATATGACTTACCAGTTTTGCTGCTTTTCCATAATCAATCCATCTGAAGGTGGCAAAGTTTGTTGACTCTGCACAGTTAAAACCATGGTTAAATCCTGCATGGTATCCATATGGGAAAGTGATCATAAATTCTCCTGCCTCTTGTGTAACCTATAGCACAAAACAAACAAAAAAGTTTTCCAGGTGAACCACATTACAAAATCGTTTCTGTTCCTAAAGCAGTGAAAACTACATTTGCCTTTGCAATTACCTAGACAGATTTTTTTTCATGCAGCTGCAATGTAAGAAGGAAGAGTATACTTGAGACAAATACTGGTACTTTATGAATTTAAAAAAATACAAAAAGCTAATCTTGCAACACAGGTTCACCTGAAAGTACAGCAAACTAGAAAAAACCAGCGCAGAGATTATATCGATCTTCTGACTGAAAGGAAGCAGAGACAGTCTGAACCAAAATGCCCAATTATCATCCCTAAATACTAGTACGAATTAACTGCTGACGAAATTATTCCATTCATCACCACGTCTCTTGGAAAGACTGCAGAGAGACCCTTCTCTCCCATACTCACCCATTCAAAAACTATGACTTGAAGACCTGTGGCGGCGGGCCTGATTTGCCTTTTGAATTAGTTAGTACTGACAATCAAGCATAAAGTAAAAGAAGCTCCAAGTTTATGAGCCTTAGCAGTTAAAGAGAACAAGGTTGTCTGTCCCAAAGGAACACACTGGATACATCTGGATCCCCACACGTAGGATCATTAAATCATTTCTGATAGGAAAAGAAAATGAATTAATGGCAATTGCCCTGCACAAATTCTTCACCCTTACAGCTCTGGCAGTGTGCTCACACACTTTAACTGGACTCTGGGGAGGCAGATGTCAACACAGTAGCCAAGAGCTGTCCTGCACAGTAATCAAGACATCCACTGGTATGCAAACATGACTGCAAACATGACTTAAGTCCATCATGTTACTCCATAATCAGCAGACAGCTCAGGGCCCATTGAGGTCTCCTGCACTGCCACGGGCTGCATGCCAGGTTCTCCCTTGAGTAGGGACACCTCTCCAGGTTACTCCTTGAGGCTGAGGTAGTCTGTACATGAATTAGGAATAAGCGTGCTGAAACTGTAACCTTAGCTAAGTGACATAAAAGACTGACAGAGCACACATAACCCCTTTGACACAAACCATTGATTAAATCTGGGACTAAGTCTGCATCCAGCTGCACCTAAACTTCCCTCAGAGAAGGAGTTCAGAATGCGAGGGAGTCCTCTCTGAACCTCATGAACCAACAGGAGGGTCTCCCTGACAGTTAGTTGTCTGACCTGTCCTCTCTGCAGTAAATACTCAAGTACACCTTGCCCTCAAATCTTGTTAGATTCAACGTCACTGTCACATTTACCACTGAACTTTGTAAACTCGCTGTTGCTTCTCTCTTGCAAATGAAGTGAATCCTTCCCCACAGCATCTACTGCCACCAAGGGGAACTGTCCACTGCAAATGCCATGCAGAGTATCTCAACGTAAAGCCGTTAGACACCACTTACATGAAAAGAAATTTTAATCTGCCCCTGCCCTTCCCCTGTCCCTCTTTAAAGCACAATTTAAGAGAGCAGCACTATGGTACTATTGATAATGAGAATTCCAAAATACCTAAGGGACAAGCGGCCCAAAGGAGAGCTCAAAGCGGCAAAGCTTGACTACAGTTAAGCTCTAATACTGCTTTAGAGAACAAGCAAAAGTAGTTCCAAAAGACTGCTCTGTTCTTGACAAGTACAGTGAAAAAAGTAAGCAAAAGAGAAGTTTGCTGGGGCCACAAGAAATCACAGAAAGTAGAAAAACCTTAAAAGAATCCCACCCCACACACAAACAAAGAAGCACTGGCCAGGACATTTTCTTTCAAGAAAGAAACCTCATCTTCCTATACCTGAATGAACTACTGCTCCTCTGGACACGAAGAAAACATGGCACTTCTTGTCAGTTACTAATACTCTCCCCACTCACAGATAGATCTGATCTCTTGAAGTCAGACCACCAAAGCCTGCATCAAGGACAAGCTAATCAGAGACTAGAAATGGCCCACTGTTTTCCGTACTACCTGATAAAGTGTTAATAAATAAAGTATGCAGAAGGGTTAAAAGATTCCCCATACAGTCTGATGTATCTTTTTACAAGAAACACAACAGAGAGCAGGCCCAGTAAAAACCCATTTAAATGAAGCAAGTATCTGAGCAATGACTGATGACTGTTCAACAAGATGCATTTGCCAATCATAGGACAATAAGACTTCTCATAGATTAAACAAGACATTTTTATTGTGTGACAACGTTTTGCATAAGCAATAGAGAAGGAAAAACTGGAAAGACAAACACAGCTTTTTAGAGAAATAGACTTATGATCACAAAAAGAGAGAGCTAAACTTTAAACAACCAACAAAATTAAAATTCAGAACTCCAAACATTTTTCTTATTAACATGTCATATCTTAAATCTCAGCTTTTTGCTGGCATGGTTGTCTTACATTCCTTTTCTGCTTTTAGAATCTCCCCTTTCTTCCTTTTGAAAATCTCGCCTTACAGTTTTATGAATTGTCCTCTTGTGTTTTATTTTTTGCTCAATGCAAGAAAAAATGCACAGGGATAGCATGTCAAGATGTATATTTCCGATTGTATTATGAGATGAAGGAAAGCGAGGAAAACAAGGAAAAGATAGTCAGCCATCAAAGCTAAACAATAAATTGGATCTTAGATTTTGCAAGGTTAACTTTTTGTAGGTTCATATTTAGCATGTACATGCAAATGCACATACAGGTGCATATATTATAACTGCTACTGTAGAACACCAACAATCGCTGTGGGACTGTTTAAGAAAGATTATTCTCAATGCTAACAATCCTAAAATTTATCTCAATACACCCTCCTACTGCTGACAGTTTAGCAGGTGTTCTATTGCAACAAGCAGCAGTTCAGCTGCCACCTGGTAGGCGTAGGCTGACTTATCAGCATTCAGCACATTTCCACTTCTATCACTTTGAGCCATGAGAGATCACAGCCTGGTTCTATCTATTATTCACTTTCTTACTGAATCCCATTAATTACAATTACACTTCGGTACAGTCTGCTTCCTCACCAGACTAGGTGAAAGAATAAAACTTCAATATTTAACTCTTTCTAGCACTTTATTTTGTATTCTCAGAATATAGCAATAATCAAGACATTGAAATAAGAAAATCAACTTCCCTACCCACCTGAAACGTGCGGTACTGAAAACAAATATGCTGGCATTCTGCAATACACTATTACCAACCACTGAAAATTATACTGCTCAGAGTAACGTTCTGTAAATCCAAAGCTATAAATCTAGTTATAAAACCTTCCAGTTTGGAAGGTTTCATCTGACACTTCATGATGAAGCACAAGGCTATGAAGAGAATCAATATTTACCTATATATTACAAAAACTGAACTCAGCAACTACATTTCCATATGATAATATATCATTCAGAAAACAAACTACTTCTTATGTGAGTAATATAGTCAAAAAAGCTTGTTTTCCACAGCAGGCAATATCTTTCTAAATGCCTACATTTCTTCAATTTTATACATAGGCTGATTTAAGCATGGAAAGTGAAGCTAATTCCAAAAGGCAGACAACAAATCAGTGACTTCATCCCACCTGTGCTGCAAACAGTGTTGATAACACAGGGACGTTTCAGTCACTGCTGAGCAGTGCTCACACAGCATCAAGGTCTTTTCTGCCTCCTACCCCACCAGGGACCAGGCTGGGGGTGCACAATAAACTGGGAGAGGACAGAGGTGGAACAGCTGACCCCAGAGATATTCCAGACAATATAGTGCTATGCTCAGCATATAGAGCTGGGGGCAGAAGGAGGAATGGGGGGGCATTTGGAGTAATGGCGTTAATCTTCCCAAGTAACCATTACATGCGATGAAGTCCTGCTTTCCTGGAGATGGCTGAATATGCCTGCCAATGAGCAATACTGAATTAATTCCTTGCTTTGTTTCACTCGTGTTTGTGGCTTATGCTCTACTTATTAAATTATCTCAATCCACAAATTTTCTCACTTTTACACTTCTGATTCTCTCCCCTGTATCACCAGGAGGAAGTGAGTGTGTGTGGTTCTAAGCTGCCTACTGGGTTAAATTACAACAACACTATACATTAAAACATTAACTTAAACATTATTTCCATGCTTCATACTGTTACAAAAATATCAACTAAGCCAGAAAGCACAGCATTATGCTATATTCTAAGAAGGGAACATGATCCACTAAGTCTGTATACACAGATCCACATGGTATCAACAAACACCACATACATTAAAACAGTAACCACAAAACTAAACAAGGTCTGTGGCAAGTGTGCTGAGGCCACAAAAAATTACAGAAAGCAGTTGACAGTTTACAGTACTATATTGTAGCAGGAATAGTGAGAAAAAAAAGTATATATTGCATGGTTCTTCTGAACATCTTTATAAACAGCCTGCACAGTGGGAAACCCAGAATCATAAACCCTTACTGGTCAAAAGGCTTTTAAAAACCTCAGTATAACATAAACAGATGTTCAGGAAGGGAACCTTCTGAATCAAGCTGTACTACTGCGGTAGACTTACAAACCTCTTGAATTTAGAACTTCAGAATTTGCAAAGTGCTGAGGATATAGAATAAATATTTTTAAAGAAAAAGTAATGCAGTAAAACCATTCTTATTAGCTGGCACCTACACAAAGTTCTACATGGAAAACAGTAAGCTAGAAGATATAGGAAAGCAGAAGAAATTGAATACTTCAGATGTCTGTGAAAACAGCTATGTATAAAATTCATCCACAAAAAGACAGCCACTTATTCTTCACACTTTATATAATGTTATCAATTGTCTAGTCTGCCACTATCTAACAGCACAAAATAATCACTATTTTTCTAATATGTTACATCATAAAAAATAAATTTAAAAAAATTAAATTTGGGTTTATTCATTATCTTAAGTGTTTCAGTCAACAGATTGCATGGAAATAAAACAGGAATAAAAAATATAGAATCACAGAATCATAGAATAGTTAGGGTTGGAAAGGACCTTAAGATCATCTACTTCCAACCCCCCAGCCATGGGCAGGGACACCTCGCTCTAAACCATATTACCCAAGGCCTCGTCCAACCTAGCCTTGAACACTGCCAGGGATGAAGCATTCACAACCTCCCTGGACAACCTATTCCAGTGCCTCACTACCCTAACAGGAAAGAATTTCCTCCTTACATCCAATCTGAACTTCCCCTGTTTAAGTTTTAACCCATTAGCCCTTGTCCTATCACTACAGTCCCTAATGAAGAGTCCCTCCCCAGCATCCCTGTAGGCCCCCTATACTGGATACTGGAAGGCTGCTATGAGGTCTCCACGCAGCCTTATCTTCTTCAGGCTGACCAGCCCCAACTTTCTCAGCCTGTCTTCATACGGGAGGTGCTCCAGTCCCCTGATCATCCTCGTGGCCCTCCTCTGGACTTGTTCCAACAGATTCATGTCATTTTTATGTTGAGGACACCAGAACTGTACACAATACTCCAAGTGAGGTCTCACAAGAGCAGAATAAAGGGGCAGGTTCACCTCCTTCGACCTGCTGGTCACGCTCCTTTTGATGCAGCCCAGGATATGGTTGGCTTTCTGGGCTGCAAGCGCACACTGCAGCCGGCTCATGTTCCTTTTCTCATTGATCAGCACCCCCAAGTTCTCCACAGGGCTGCTCTGAATCTCTTCTCTGCCCAACCTGTAGCTGTGCCTGGGATTGCTCCCACCCAGGTGTAGGACCTTGCACTCGGCACGGCTAAACTTCATGAGGTTGGCATCAGCCCACCTCACAAGCGTGTCAAGGTCCCTCTGGATGGCATTCCTTCCCTCCAGCGTATCAACCGAACCACACAGCTTGGTGTCTTCGGCAAACTTGCTGAGGACACACTCAATCCCACTGTCCATGTCAGCGATGAAGATGTTAAACAAGACGGTCCCAACACTGATCCCTGAGGGACACCACTCGTTACTGGTCTCCAGCTGGACATTGAGCCATTGACCACAACTCTTTGTGTGCGGCCATCCAGCCAGTTCTTTATCCACCCAGTGGTCCATTCATCAAATTGATGTCTCTCCAATTTAGAGACAAGAATGTCGTGTGGGACAGTGTTGAACGCTTTACACAAGTCCAGGTGGATGACATCAACTGCTTTACCGCTGTCCATCAGTTCTGTAGCCCCATCATAGAAGGCCACCAAATTGGTCAGGCAGGATTTCCCCTTGGTGAAGCCATGCTGGCTGTCACCAAGCACCTCCTTGTTTTTCGTGTGCCTTACTGTGCCTTCCAGGAGAATCTGCTCCCAGATTTTGCCAGGCACAGAGGTGAGACTGACTGGTCTGTAATTCCCCGGGTCATCCATTTTCCCCTTCTTGAAAATGGGGGTTATATTTCCTTTTTTCCAGTCATCGGGAACTTCACCTGACTGCCACGATTTTTCAAATATGATGGCCAGCGGCTTAGCAACTTCATTCTCCAGCTCCTTCAGGACCCACGGATGGATTTCATCAGGACCCATGGACTTGTGCACATTCAGATTTTTAAGATGGTCTCAAACCAGTTCCTCTCCTAATATGAGGATAAGATCCTAATACAGATAAGATCTTCACAAAAATTTCTAGCATAAAGATTATGATGGCTATAAGTGTTTTCTGATAGAAAATTCCAAGCTAAAACATGCCAAAATCCTAATACTACGAGCATTTGTTTTTGTCTTTTCATGGAGTCAATGCATTAAAAAAAAAAAAGAATTATTATTTTGCATCACCTTTACTATAAAAAATCCTTATAGTAAACACAAGTCTAATTCAATGGATGAATGCACAGTTAAACACTAATGTACCTTGTCAAAAGGAATTCCATACTTCTTCAATATTGATGGAGAAATCAGAGACATCTTGTGGCGAAGAAAAGCATCACATCCATCAGAGCTGCTTGGGAAGAACCCTAGCACAGCAAGACAAGCAAAATTGGGTATCTTTTAATTAAAGCAGGTAGGAAAATGCTGTTATATTTGACAATACATACTACCATTTCAACTCATTAGAATATTTTATAAACTCATAGAATATTTTACTGTGTTGTTGCTAGGTTCTGAGGAATCTGTATAAAAATCAAATGTTCCACCTAAGATTTTCAACTTCTTTTCAAGGGGAGGGATTACAGTAGTTTGGTTTTTTTCTCAGTTTTTGATTAAGCAGTAAAATAATTTTAAATAAATTTGGACATGTAAATTAGGTACACTTTTCTTACCTTTGACAGAAATATTTTATTGTTGGCATGTATAGGGTTTTTTTACATGAACATTCATTCTGCAACACCTGCACACACAAAAATCAACTGTAGTATATGAATTTAAAAGGATTCCACAATGACCAGATTTACCTAGGGCTCACAAACCACCTATAAGGTAAACAAACACAATTTTCTATCTAGGAAAGGCTAGAAAGTATGGCGACTTTTACTTGGTGAAGTAAAAACAGATGGGGTGGGGGGTTTTTGCTTCTTTTTATCTTGTTTTGACTTCTATGAACAAAGACTTCCCATGTTTAAACTTCGATGATTATTAATGTACTACTCCACAAACCCTCCTCAGTTCATTACATAATTATATAATCCAGTTGAGGAAAATACGGAGATTAATTTTTCACTTTTCCCTCTCATTAAGACAAGGTTTCAATGTTTAATTAAACTCTGGTACCTCACCCTCTAACCAGAATGTGAACAGCACCTCAGCTACCATTCAAATAAGTTACCTAATCTTTCCCTCTCTAAAATGAAAATATTAAGCTCTTTAACCTATCATGGTACAAAAACACTATGTTATAAGATAAAAGGCAGAAGGTGAGAAGGAGAGAGAGGGGAAAGTCTTCAGAATATAACTAGTTTATTCCTTCCTGACCTCCTTTCTAACTTGATTCCAGAAAGAAGGTAACACTCTTTAATGACAGTATTAGTACCAATTCAGGGAAATACACTTTTGATTTATTTATGCATTATATTTTATGCCTGAAGAACACAAAAGATCTTTGATACAGATCCAGATTTAAAGATTGCATGAATTACCTAGAATTACTGAAGGTGTATGTGTTTGTTCACAATAAATATATTAACCACAAACACCATTCAATTCTTATCCAAACTGAATAGTAACTGTTTTGCTGTAAACACCTGGTAATTGCATGAAACCGGCAAGAAAAGATCACCTGAGAAAAATATGGGACAAACTAAAATGACTAGACAAATGATATAGAAAACTTTGTTTAGTGGACACAAAATTAGCCACAAGACATTTAACTAATAAAAGAAGAGCTTTCCATCATCTCCTCACTGCATTTGAACAAGTTGCCGTATCCCTCTCTCATAAATGTTACTTTGTCATTGACAGATGCAACAAGCTCGCTACTCTATTAAAAAAGAAAAACCCCTAAATACTTTTAATGAATTGGGAAATAAAATATGAACAACAATACACCATAATGTACATCCTTCTCTGTAATGTCAGAATTAATTTCTTCTCTCCGATGAGCCTATTTACGTGATGTTAGTTAACATTATCATAACTGTTATATTCTTTGTACATTATTTTCTAACACACTACCCAGTTCTGTGAGAATTTTTCTCTGGTTTCTCAGATATAACATTAAGCAGCACTTTAGAAGCAAAGGTGTAATCTACAGTCATGCAGATCAACGTACTAGGATGTCCGCAAAGATGCAGATCAAATTCTATTCAGATTTATCATTCTTTCTTCTCCCCACAGAATTCTTTACTCTCTTTTGGAATTGCAAACGACATAATAGCTGGTAGGTACAGTTTATCATACGTGTTTGGCTTCACTAACTAAAAGACAGATAAAAGAAACCAGAGCAGAATTGGTGGGCCCCAGCAAATAAATTTCAAATATTCTGGCACAATTAATGCCTATAATATAATGATAACAATCATAACTTGGAATCTATAGCACATGAGCTTCAAGAAATCTCAGTACTGAGCAGTGTAATAACAGAAATATACTGGAACATACTGTGAAAAGAGTGAAAATGACATTTGAGATTAAGGAAATTACTGGTACAAAAAGTAGTAGAAACCTTGATTTCTAAAGGCAGGAGAAGTTTGACTGAGTTGTTTTCCCTGAGAAAACAAATTTTGTACCTAATTCTACTACTGCAATATGCTTAATTGGCTCAATACATGATAATAAAAAGCAAACGATGGGCAGATATCCAAAACTTGTTATATCATTACAGCTCCAAGAGACCAGAAATAGTTTCGACAACTCCAACCAGAAGGCATGTTTGTTGCTGAATTCTAAGATAGCTGCAAAGAGCACAGAACAGCAGAACATAACCTGCTCAAAATCCATTAAGAGAAATTTACAGAACATCTGCTGTGGTTACAGAGCCCTTAGAGTGAAATCAAAGTGCAGCCTACACATTCTGTACCACTATAAACTATCTTTTGACTATCAAGGCCTACACTTATATACACTCTAAGTTTCCCATCTCATTCAACTCGTTTTTTTTAAAAGCACTTCCCTTCAATGAACACAGCAAGAAAGGAAGGTAGTATTTCCTCATTACAATACTTTTTATCAGAAGGTCTTTTGCTCTGCCCAGGCTAAAGCTAAGGTCACACACGCTCCTCTTTCGGGGAAGAAAATCCTAGTGGGAGAATTTGTTAGCAGGCATAAAAAACACCTAGTAGCACACCGAGGTGTTGCATTAGAAGCATCACACGATCCTTACAAACACATTAAATGCAAGCCAATTCAAGATATGCTTGCAACACACCAGAACCATTCTCAAATGGCAAGCTACTGCTAAGTTTAGCAATTTACAGGATTACTGCTTAATTCCGGATATTTAGTGAATTCCCACATCCAAAAATAAAAACTAAAAAAAATAAAATCTATGTAAAATGCAACTACTGTTCAAGTTCTGTAGTTCAAGTTCATGGAGACACATGGAATCTTAATTTAATCCATTAACACTAATCCATTAATTCTGAATCAGTTCTACAAAAGCAGGTATTTTGTAGGAATCAGCATGCAATTCTAGTTTCTCAGATGGCTTCTTGAGATGTGGCTAAACATAAGCATTGAGAAGTGCAAAAGAGGTTTGCCACCTGTACCCTACATATCTTCTTGGACCTAATTACATAGAACACCAATTCAAAACAATTACATCATAGGAACCAATGAGCAATGATCAAAGATCATTGTAAAACAGAGTTAGGTTACTCACTGATTTAAGTCCATGAGAAAAAGACAATCCAGCTGAAAATTCTCTAATCATGATTTAAAGAAACACTGACATTCTCAAGATTTAGACTGTACTAATTCTGCTCTACAAGGCAAAGATGTGATTCAGTGGCTAAATATTTGGGTATGAGCATATAAACTACAAGCAGAGTGCATTTATCCACCAAACTGAAAGTGCCACTCAGACTTTTGTAAAACCTTCTCTAGTTAACATACACAACAATAACAAATAATCCATGAAAACAGCCGACAGACTGTATTAACAATCAAAAATATGCTCTCAGAAGACCCTACGTTAGCTGTCAGACAGACACGTAGTCTGACAGCTAACACTGCCCAAAATTAAATGATTTACACAAAGTAGCCAATGTTATTTGTACTAACAAAACTACTTCTTGATTTACAGTCTTACCACAGGGCTGGTGAAGACACACCTCTGTCAATGCTACCCCACCTCAGTAGACGCTGACATTTACATACAATCTCTGTTTTTTTGATCCATACTCTAGATACAGTTAAAGCCTTCTCATCACTGGGGGAAGCTTAGAGCAGTGAGCATGAAGCAGATTCCTAACTGTGTCTGAGGAAGACAGGATTCACACAAACAGGATATTGCTGCACAGAGTCTCTTTAAAGTGCACATTAAATGGTTCAGGGATAAAGAACATTTTAAAGTTAGTTCAATTCTATATATTATTGAGGAAGAGTGACATTACTACCTGAAAGGCTCATTCTTTTTTTCACCCCGTATCATTCCAACATACCATACACAGCTCAGATCAGATGACCACATGAAATCACAGCTATCATTTGCACAAACTGAAGTGGACTGGGTTCAATTCCTGGTTGATTACCTTCTTCAAGATATCTGGACAGCTTATTTACCGTAACAAGAATGTGCCCATACTCTTTCCAATTAAACTGTTGCCCTGGGTTCAGCAGTAGCAGTCATTTTTCTCCTTCTTAGTAGCTGGTGCAGTGCTGTGGTTTTGACTTTCAGCCTGGGAACAGAGCTGATAACACCGATGTTTTTAGTTGTTGCTAAGTAATGTTTACTCTGACCAAGGACTTTTCAGTTTCATGCTCTGCCAGGGAGGAGAAGAAGCCAGGAGGAAGCAGAGACAGGACACCTAACCCAAACTAGCCAAAGAGGTATTCCATACCACAGCACATTATGCCCAGTATATAAACTGGGGGCAGTTACCAGGAAGGCCCACATCGCTGCTCAGGTCTTGCTGAGTATCAGTCAGCGGATGGTGAGCAATTTTCTCTTCCCTTGTTATTTCCCTTGTCATTATTATTATTGGTGGTAGCAGCAGTGGTTTGTGTTATACCTTAGTTACTGGGCTGTTCTTATCTCAACCCATGGGAGTTACATTCTTTTGATTCACCTCTCCATCCCAACCGGAGCTGAGGGAGGAAGAAGGGGGGTAGTGAGCAAGTGGCTGTGTGTTTCTGAGTTACCAGATGGGCTTAAACCATGACAATGGCCATAAGTCAGAACCACGCAGTCTACTGCCCCCTTGCCCTTTCTTCCCCCCTGCTCCCGGAGGCATGGAAAGGAGAATCAAAAGAATGTAACTCTAATGGGTTGAGATAAGAACAGTCCAGTAACTAAGGTATAACACAAACCACTACTGCTACCACCAATAATAATAATGATAAAGGAAATAACAAGGGAAGA